AGAAAATTTGATTCTTCTTCCTGTTCCATCCCCAGGCTCTTTAAGGCCAGGGATCTGGGGAGAGTGAAGGGAATTATTTCAGAGTTTTCTCACAGTCAGGAGAAAGGAAATGAAGGTATCCGGGAAGAAATTGGCAAGGGCCTTTCACATCCTTGCACCTTCATTACCGATGTCACTGACCCCATCTGAGTTTCAGTTTCCACTTACGAATGGGAAAATCTGAAATGCAGGCAAATCATGCATGCAAGCAGATGAGTAGCTATATGTGTTTAAAACCATCTCACAATGTCTATTTACAAACTTTCCTCATCTCTGCTGAGTCAAGAGGATCCCCTAGGACCACACCTGGAGCTAAGTTTGTGTTATTGCACATATGGCCTGAAGGTAATAAAGTACATTTTAAACATTCTGTATAATACAAACTTCCTCCAAATCTGGTTGTTCTCTTCCACCATAAGAACAAGCCTGTGTTACGTGATGGTGACTTTCCTGGTTGTCCCCTCCCCCCAACTCCAGGTAAGGTATCCACACAGGAGATGCCAATGACTCTGAAGACTGATGGTGGAGAAGGAGGAAGAAGAAGCAGTCTGGCCTGGGAACTACCATTAACAAATAGCCATATAATAGCCCCCCCCCTTTCTCTGTGGGTTTGCTTCCATCAGTTTCCATTATTCACAGTCAACTATAGTCTGAAAACACAGTACAGTTCAACAAGGTATTTGAGAAATAGAACATTCACACAATTTTTATTACAGTATATTGTTATACTTGCTCTCATTTCTTATTATTTTAAGTAATCTCTTCCCACCACGTTATGTTACATTTTCTTTTATTTTTTTATTTTTTTATTTTTATTTTTATTTATTTTTTTTAAAGAGAGAGTGAGAGAGAGGGACAGAGAGAGAGAGAGAGAGAATTTTAACATTTATTTATTTTTTCTTAGTTCTCGGCGGACACAACATCTTTGTTGGTATATGGTGCTGCTGAGGATCGAACCCGGGCCGCACGCATGCTAGGCGAGCGCGCTACCGCTTGAGCCACCTCCCCAGCCCCTTATGTTACATTTTCTTCTAGCAGTCTGCCATAAATAATTACTGACTTGGGGCATGTCATCATTCCAGCCAATGTTATGACCACAGACTCACCCAAAATCATCTTAAAATCATTCAAAAAGTTATTCTGTTGACTAGAATTCTACACTGTGCCAGGGACTATGGCAGATGCAATAAATGTGCCTTAACCACTGGAAGGTTAAAATCTAAGTTAAGGAGGTAAGATATGTTCATTTGAAACACCTTGAGAACCATTTAATCAAATGTCAAGTGAAAATGGTATGATAGTAGCAATTCCTATCAGTTATTGAAGTCTTCCTAATGGACAGGCACCATAGTATGGATATCACACTTATTACCTCATTTAAACTTCCTAACAACCCTTTAGGATGGGTTCTGTTAATATCTCCGTGTTAGTCAAGACAACTCAGATTTACAAAGAGTAAATCATTTAATATAGCACAGCTGATAAGGGCAGATAGAGCTAGATTTCACCTGCAACTTTTATTTATTTATTTATTTATTTTTGTGGTGCTAGGGATTGAACCTAGGGCCTTGTGCATGCGAGGCAAGCACTTTACCAACTGAGCTGTATCTCCAGCCCATGTGACTTTTGATTTTGATAACACTTAAAAACTACGGTTAAGTTGAAAGAATACTATAATGCAGACCCATGTATGCTTAAGCTAGACTTGCTACCTATAATGTTTTATGTTTGCTTAAAATCTATAGGGTTTTTCTCTCTGTCCATCTCTTCTCTCTCCATATATATATATATACACACACATGCACACCAAATGTTTCTATTTGAGCATAAATTGCAGACATCCTTATGTATCCCCTCTAAATATTTCAGCACGTATCTCCTAAGAACAGAAGACATTTTTCTACAGTACCACAATCTAGAGTCAGGGTTTGAACCCAGCTGTGACTCAAGAGTCCTGAACACAGGTGCTATGAGAGTTTAGTAGAAGGAGCCATTAATAGAGAATGGAAATTATACATTTTCTGTGGACCCTCTACTCCTGATTGTTTATAGCAATGGAAGGAAGGAGTTGGGCAAATAATCACAAAGTGTGCATAATCAAAAAACCCAAACCTCATGGTTTTCTGAGTGTGTTCTATTTGAGTGGGAAGGGAATGACAGATTTGCCTTCCTAATTAATTTCTTCTGTGGCAAATATTAAAATCTTTCTTAACCACTCACAGACATTATAACTTGGGTAGTATTCCAGAAGTTGTACTTTGATTAAAAACATAATTGCAGAAAATTCAGCCAGGCACAAGTGGCACAGGCCTGTAACCACAGCAGCTTGGGAGGCTGAGACAGGGGTATTGCAAGTTCAAAGCCAGTCTCAGCAGCTTAGTGAGGCCCTAAGCAACTTTGTGAGACCTTGTCTCAAATTTTAAAAGGGCCTGGATTGCTCAGTGGTTATGTGCCCCTGGGTTCAATCCCAGGTACAAAAAAACAAAAACAAAAAAAAAAGGAAGAAAGAAAAGGAAAATAAAACCCACTAAGTGGTAAGCCACAGCCATGTATGAATAATGGAGAATTAACCACAAAGTCTAGCAAGAGAGGAGTTCTAGCTAGAAATTCTAGACACAGATTCAACATCTATAATATGAATCTAGCCCTTGCTCAGTCACATTCTCCCTTCCCAGAGTTAAGAAGAAAGGGTCCCATGCACTGATCTTGTTCCAGAGAGCCCAGTCTATTTACCCAATGAAATTCCACAAGCAGAATGATGCCTATTTCAGACTGAAAGAGAAAGTGTGCCCTCTACTACTGTTAATAGAATTGGGGCCTTTTGGGAAACTGAGGCAGCACAAAGACCCCCTCTTCAAACCTAATTCTTGTGATCAAGTCAGAAAGAGTTCAGACATGTCACTCAGAGTAATATGAATTACTTCATTAAAGTGATAGTAAAAGGGGAAGGGGGACACTTCCAAGGAAGAGAATGGATTCTTTCAGAGAGGAGAGAGACAATGTGCCTGTCCTGTACTACAGTATAATTCAGGATCCCATGGAAGTTTTCAGACATATCCACCCAGGAACTTTTGACTTTTGACTGACAGTAAGATGACATTAGACTTTCAAGTCCCCATTGTCATGATAACTGTCACCTTGGTCCATGCTGACTGGTTCCAATTAGCTTCTTAATCGTTTTTTTTTTTTTTACAGGTTTTATGGTTAGGAGGAATTATCCTTATCTTTCAGAATCTGGTCTGTGAAAAGGATCACAAAATTCTCTCCCTTCAAAGTAACTTGGGTTCCTCTTATCAACGTTATTTCCTGCCAGCCTTTCCTTGCAGATAACAGGTAGTCTGCTGAGGAATGTGACATATCCTGTCCATTTGCCAGGCAGGGGTGCAGGTAATTTTTTTTTTTGACAAAGAAAGTATGTGTGGGGGGGTCAAAAGATAGCATGTGGGGGTAAGCACAGTGGGGCCATTTTACAGATTTATTCTCTTAATTCTTTTCCATAATTCTTAATTCATTTTATAGAATTATTCCTACTATCCTCATCTATCTATTCTCTAAGACTGCCAAACTGGTCACTATACCCTGAAGGTCCCCAGCTCTGAATTTCTTCTTCCTTCCTTCCTTCCTTCCTTCCTTCCTTCCTTCCTTCCTTCCTTCCTTCCTTCCTTCCTTCCTTCCTTCCTTCCTTCCTTTCTTTTCTTAATGTGGGAAAGCTGGATTTAGAAAAGCTGTGATATTAGTCCTAGCCAGGCAGTGTTTAATGACCTCCTCACATGAATGCACAGGAGAAATCTTGAACTTTTAAAACTCTTGATTCCTCAAAGTAATTGTAAAAAGCCAAAAGCCTGCATTTGCATTTACTTTGGTTTGCTTTCACATTCCCACTTGACATTTCAAAAATCAAAATATTGCAAATCTGGGTATCTCAAATGCTAGATCTGGGACACTCTATATTGAACTGAGGTAGGCAGCCATAGGTCACACCTTTGCACACACACCCCAGCCCTCAGTTCTTTTGATTTTCTGCAGATACATTCTGATCTGCAATATCTGTGAATCCATGTAATGTAAGCCATGTTATAACTGGGGTGCACAGTGTCTATGTATCCCATCTTTGGTAGGCACTTTCATTTCAAGGGCAGGAAAGATTTAATAGTTAACTTTAAGCAAGTTCTTGCATTTTCAGTTCGTGGCCCTAGACTGGTTTAGGGAGTATTTTTCTTAGAATTGAACAAGAACATTTTAGATGGTTCAGAAACAGCATTTAGATAGAGGTGGGGACACATGTAGCCCTGCCATTTAAATTCTGTTTCAATCTCTGGCTTCTCCTCTCTGCTCCCTCTCCCTTCCAGCTTGCACAGTCTAAAATACCAGAATGTGACATGTTTACATTTCCTTCCTAAAGCCCTTGAGTGTCTTTCCCTGCCTGGATAAAAACTTGTACTCTCTCCTTAGGGCTTTTCCTTCAAATTATTCCTCACACTCGTTAGCCCCGCAGGGATTTAGAAAGGCTGTGAAAGAGCATCTGGTATTTTGCACGAGGGATGCTGTGCTGAGTGGGAGTTGGAGGGAGAGGAAGAAGGGGCGTTAACAGTTTCTAACCATGTAAGGAGCAATCTCAGCCCTTTCTGGATCTAGTTTAGAAGACAGAGAGACCTTGAGAAGGAACTTTATCTCGTTACTTTTTGCATCCGCCTGACAAGGGTTTGCAGCACGTGGGAGATTGGAGGGCAAAGCTGCCCCCACATGGCAGTCGACAAGGGCATGCCAGCGAGCACAGTGCTTAACCGTCCAGCGGCTACATCAGAAGTATCACGTCCGGCTTTTATGGGTGCCCGAAGGTTTTAGAGTAAGTGGTGGGTACAGCTGATCTTTTCCCACTAGACACCACAGAGCAGAGGGTGGTAGAGTGCCGGCTGGCACCTCAGCGCTTCTGTCCCCAGCGGGGCGCTTTTTTGCCTTGAGGGGCAGGGAGGAGCAACCTACCGGGTGGGCGCCTTCGCTGCCCTAAGTGGCAGCGTCCAGCCAGGGTGCATCCGCCTGGCAGGCACTGTGAGCTCCCCCGGAGAGCTCGTGCAGGTGTGCTAGTGCAGGAGTGTGGGAAAGTGCGGAGGTGGGGTCCCCTTTAGCTTGCCTTCAGAACTTTTTTGAGTCACGGGCAGAGGCTAAAAAGGGCAGTCCCAGCGTCTGGACACCAGGAGGCTTCTATGACTTTCTGGCTTCCTTTCCTTCTCATCCAGACCCCTACCTGGCTTACCAGAGTCCCAGAGAAGGAGGGGTCGGCATGGAAAGGTAGGCATTTTCCCAAAGCAGCCCGTAAATTGTTGATTAAATTACTTGCAAACACAAGGCGGAGATGCACTAAAGATATGGAAATACCTAGATGCTGGGGAGGGTTTCTGTTGTGTGCATTGTGATTCCTGGCCTTGTGATGTAAAGTTACTTTTGTGTTCTTTCTGCAGCTTTGGTTTTGCCCGAATTTGTAAGAAATGGATCGAGAGACTGAGACTGGAGAACTACAAAAGGCCAGTGTCTATGTAAGTGATGGGCTAAGAAAAGAGACGGGGTGGGGGTGGGGGTGGGGTGTCCTAGTGGGTCTGGGGCAAAGCTATATAGTTATAACTTGCAAGTGTCAAAAAAACATAGCCAACATTTACTTAAAGTACCCCACAAACCTGGATTTTAACAAAGCTAATTTCATTGACAAGTAACATCATTAAAATAACATTATCAGTAATAATTCTATTAAATAATAAGTTCCAGTTATACTGAAACATAGCCTAGCACAAGCAGCCAAAATGGCTAAAAAGAAATTTCAAAAGAAGGGAGTGGGCTCAGTGGTAAAGCACTGGCTTAGCACGTGTGAGGCACTGGGTTTGATCCTCAGCACCACATAATAAATAAATAAATAAATAAACAAACAAATAAATAAATAAAAGTATTGTGTCCATCTACAACTATAAATATTGTTTTAAAAAAGAAGGAGGTGCTGAGGACAAGAGGCAAAGAAAGAGAATTTGGATTCAAGATCATTACCTTAAATTTCTGAGATGTCTTAATTTTCTAAATGTATTCCAAGCTCTACTATGTGCAGTCTCCAGTTATTTGATGGAACATTGTCTTCAGGCAGTATTTCTCAGTATGTGTCCATAGAGCTGTTTTGGGATGGGGTGTGTGCATAAATGTGCATATTTCAAACAGTGCCAACAATAAGATCACCAAAATAGATTTAGTTATATGGTTAATTAGTGAGTATGTAAGTGAATATGATTGTTTGCCATTTTCCCTGGTGAAGAGAACTCTCTTCTCTCTCAGCTTTTAAAACCTGCAATCTCAGCCAGAAACGCAGTTTACCAATTACAGACCTCCAATAGTTGAGGGTTGCATGGGTTCACCTTGTCTTGCAGTTCTTTCTGTTCCCTCACAGAAAAACTATGGATGGATAAGGACTGGCAGTCTGTAGCCTGCAGGTCCAAAGTGGAATTGCATGTTTTTCTTCTATTCTTTCTTTTCTTTTCTTTTCCTTTCTCTTTCTTCCTTCCTTCCTTCCTTCCTTCCTTCCTTCCTTCCTTCCTTCCTTCCTTCCTTTCTTTCTTTCTTTCTTTCTTT